TTCTTAATAATTTTCTCTTTCATATTCATATTGCTGACACACCCAGCTACTGTAATCACATTTAATGGAGCTATAAATATTTAAACTAATTTGTGGTGTCCCGTAGTGATACTATACAATTAAGTAGAACCGAGTCGATTTACATGCAAGTTCTATACGCTCTGATTAATGAGCCAGGAACAGCAGTTCTCTCTATCTCATTTACATTGCGTACATAACGGTACAATGTTCTCAGGCTCTATCACGTTTAGTCACGTTTTTCTACAAAAGTCTTTATAGCTCTACTTGGTATGTCCATGCATAATTCGCGTTCTACCAGTTTAGCTCCTGCTATAGCTGAGGCTGTTAGTTTCCGGCTTCCCACAGCGGCGGCCCGGGTTTCGAGCGCTCAGATCATGTGGGATTTGTGGTGGACAAAGTGACACTGGGGCAGGTTTTCTCCGAGTACTTCGGTTTCCCCTGCCAATCTTCATTCCACCAATTGCTCCACAATCACCCTCACCTATCATGTGGGGCTGGTACAATAGGCCAGAAGTGGCCGCAGTACAAGGGACTTAGTCCCACCCCACTAGCAATAAGAAAAAGGGGATTATACTGAAAATAGTCCCATATTAAACTAAGATGAAAATTATTTTTAAATTAGTCAGGGAGTCAGCTTCAAGACAAATAAAGAGTTATTCAAGGAGGTGAATGTTAAGAGAGTGGAGTTTGATGTCATGACATCGCGTAGTAGTTACCAGTATTTCGGAGGTATATATTGCCTCCATCTTCACGATTTAACGAACACGGCAGCAGGTTTTCCGAAAATACACTGTGTCATAACTCAGAAGGCCGCAGTCTTGACGAGTTAATAACACAAATGCATCGCCTGTATGGTTATGCAGATCCAACAGTTGTGTACTCGTATATATATAGTATAACATGTAACTGAGGCTCTGTGTTATTCGGTATCGAGCAAGTTGGTTCAAGCAGAAACGATTCTGAATTGTAATGACGATGTGCCCTGTTCGAACCTCGACCCGGAAAACAATTATCATGAATTCATCTTGGCTTTTATCAGTCTCCTCTGACCAAATGCAACAATGATCCTTCAAAACAGGCCACGACCACTTCCTTCTATATCAGTCGAATTTGATTAATTATTACACAACAATTATCCTATCTGTCTAGGCTGTATGATCAGAGCTTTTGGAAATAGGACCCTTATCCGATGGGTATAAGGATATCATTTCCTGGGGGTAAAGCGGCTGGAGCGTGATGATGACCACTCACTCTAGTGTAGGGGTCATGATTGATGAAACTATACCTCTAAAACACCATAAAACTTCATATCCTAGTGCCTAATTAATTAAGCGCAGGAATATTTTCACCTTACGTTACTGTAATCGACGCTAAATAAATTTATAAAACGAAATGTTTGCATTTCCAAATTAGCTTTTCAAGAAAGAAATGAACGTGACGTCTGATGAGTATGCAGCCGTAATGAAAGAATTTGGGGATTATGTGTAGACAAGTACAATATATGGGCTCACATTTCCTTGTTCTCTTACAAAAATATGTTTAAAAAATCGTGATTTGAAGGCTGTTTCTCAACTTCGTTACTTGAAATAAATTACAGCGCCATATTTTGAAACTAATCACGTCATCTCTTATAATATGAGCCCACTAGTTCTTCATGGTCTATCACCGTAGCCTAGCGGTCTAAGACTATACTATCTTCGCTCGTTCGGATACCGGGATCATGGGTTCGAATCCCACTCAAGGCATGGATGTTTGGTGTGTGTGCGTTTTTCTGTGTTTATGTTGTCCTGTGTATAGGTAGAGGCCTTGCGACGAGCTGATCACCCGTCCAAGGAGTTCTACCGTCAGAAAAAAAGAAAATGCTCAAGAAACTGATAAATCAGCCCTATGCTCCAAAAATGCAAGCAAGCTCCGAAGTGGGGGTAAGAGGAGAGAAAATTCTTCATGACGAATTTTGTTCGTGTTCTTCTAGGAGAAAGCACAAATCCCTTTGCCCTAAACAATAAATAAGTTTATGTATCTCCTCTGAAACACGAACATACACACGACCTCTCATATCAGGATCTGTAAACTGACATTGAAACTGTATTGTTTTTTCGAACCGCCCAAAGGTGAATGTTGTGTCAGTATATCCGTTAGCCAACACTTGATACACAACTCTCGATAACGTTTAGAAAGCGCAATAAAAATACGTTCCACTGTTGTGTTTATATTGTCCTTGAAATAGACTTTAATGTGGATCGCAATTTGAAATGTAGGTAACTGTATATACTAACTTCGTAGATAGGCCACGAAGAGAAGGCGCTGTTCTGAAGCTTAAGAAAATCACGTAACAATCTTCATAATTTATACTCCTCATCAGATGACACAGCATTTGGATGAGCAAAACAGGGGGAATATAGTATTTAGTGTGAGTAAATTTAATTAATTATTATTTTCAAGACATGAATCCCAACCAGCAGAATTTTGGGCCCACTTGTTGAGAAAAAAACTTGCATATTTGCCAATCATAGGTGTGATAAATACATGCATAGAAATATTTGAAAATTCTGAAGAGATTACTTCTGAAGTCTGGGAGTAAAGTTGAGAATAGTATTCTAATTGGATGTGATAGAAACAGGGTATCAGTTTGTGGGTTGGATTCAACCGGCTCTATGTTGGTGTAATATGAAGACAGTAATGAACTTTCGAGTCTCACAAAATATGAAGAACTCTTTAAACAGGTCGTTTACTGCCGCCTTCTCTAGAGTAATTGTGCTGTACTTAGCTATTTAGTTACTTTATTAACTAGTTAATCTTCTTTAATTCGCTAAGTGGGGGGTGGAGTCCAGCTGGGTCCGCTCGGCACAGCGGCCTGCCCCGGGTGATTATGATGATGGAGAATTTGGTGGAATGAAGTTTGGCAGGGGAAACCGAAGTACTCGGAGGAAAGCCGTCCCAGCGTCACCTTTTCCACCACAAATCTCAATTGACCAGACCCGGGATCGAACCCGAGCCGCCGCGGTGGGAAGCCAGCGACTAACCTCTTGATCTATGGCGAGGCCCAACTAGTTAGTTAGTTGGACAATCATTTAATTAACTACTATTGCGTAAGATTATAATTTTATTTAAAATGATTTATGCTTCTAAGATCGAATTGTATTTTTAAATGTGTTTTCCTATATTATTTATTTATTTCGTTCTCGAACAATTACTTTCAATTTATATAGTGCTGAAAGTAGCGTTAAAAATCTGTCTGATACATACTGATCCTGCGTCATCATAAAGTGGTGACGTACATCGTTACGTCATTATTAAGAAGCTACTAGATTATATTTTGAACTTATGGTACTGTCACGTGTTGGGTATGTCACGCGACAAATAACTTCACGTGGGTCTCGGATTTAGCGACTTTTTATTGGACACTCACACTTACACACCTTACAATTATTATTACTTGCAATATCCCTTGACTTCTGGCCCAATACTCACTACTCAACTACCTGTATCCTTGGCCGTTGCTGGATCTCATCTGTCTCTGGCGGCGGCTATCCCAAGATTGTCTCGTTCTCAATACTCATTACTCAATACTCAATATTCCCATATTCAATATTCAATATTCCAATCAATCTTCCGTTCGAGGCCAGGCCCTTTATATAAGGCGCGCGGACTCAATAGAGGACACCCCTCGCCAAGTTTCGATCTCACGTCTTCGGCAATCCGTTGCTTCGGGAACGTTCCTTATAGATTACACCGGTAACGTGTCTCGCCTCATCCGTTGTTACTTAAGTCTGAGGCTCGAAGAAAACGTCAAAATACATCTTCACAATTAAGAGATCATTGAGTTAGAATAGGAGCCAGTATAGCTCACTCAGTGTAGTTACTATTCCAGTGTAGGACTGGTCGGAAAATCGGGGTTAGGTTACACAGCGTCCAGACCGGCTCTGGGACCCACACAGCCTCCTATCGGATGGGTATCGCTTTACTTCCGCTGTGGGAAAGCGATCAATGTGCGAAGCTTCTCCCATGTTTTCACCTGTGCCAAGGTTAGGACTTTGATCTGCACCTCCACTCCGTCATACGCCTTCATGGCAAAATGCTTGATTAAGACAAGAAGCCGCTTAACTATTTACCTATGCTGATGTGGTAATTCAAGTGTTTTGTCACCGCTCGGAACGGAGCAGCGGAAACAGTAATGCAAGATGCCTACAAATGAAACCTTTTGTTCAATGTATCAAATAAATACACACGTCGGGGTCCATTACTTAGCATTATTGCTTTGTATTCGTTTTGTTCTGGGTTCATATCTCAGCCCCGGGACCAGCTATTATGACAAAGGTTTTTCATGACATTCCTCTTCCCACCTAACAATATGCCGGGTCTAATCTCAAATCATAGTAAGACAGCTTGCTTTAACGCCCTTCACAGTTCATTACTCAAAAATGATCTTGTCTTTCGATGCTGCATATTCTAACCTACTGACAGCATCGTTAAATAAACAATAAATAAGTAAACATGCAGGTAAATAAAGGTACGTAAATAAATTGCTTAACTGGATATGTTTAGAATATTTAAGCTTTCGACTGAAGTGATTATCTTGATAAGTTAAATTGCTTTTTATATATTATCTTGCGCCTGAACAACATAGACCCTCGAAAAGCCTGATATACAGTTAACTAAATATGTGGAACGGAGTCCTTCATGAAAAGTTAATAGCCACTCTGCTAGATAAGGAATTTCGTGACTATTATGGAGCTCGAAAATTCATTACTGGCGACTCGACGATATCCTGAACAAGATACATTTAATCCTCATTGGTAGATCCTATTTCTTTAAAATACATATTAACACTATTACCCCATTTACGCTAAGGTCTTACAAATTGTTTATTCTCTTCAAGAATACTCTCAGCATCAGCACTAGTTACTGTTAAACATCTGTGATCATTCCATTTTTTCTGTTGCGTCTTCATCCAGCGAAATCAAAACAGTGCCACTCACCAAATATGTCTAGAGACTGTCCTGCTGTCTGCTTCTGAAGCTCAGGAAGGCTTTCGAGCACAAACTTACACCTCCGCTAGCAGATGGGGAAGGTTTTATGAAGTGTATAAAAAGAGGCACGCCCTCTTGCAGTAACCTCTGGAGGTCTCCTCCCCTCTACCCAGACGGATATCACCATCACTCCGTTTTAACCTTCACATGATAATCGCAGGAACTCTTGCAACGGATATAAACACAATGGGTTCGCATAAAGAAATTAGTTAATTGTGACCAGTCTCATGATTCTGATTTACATGAAGCGAAGTCTTCACATTGTGTATTTTTAGGGTGCGGTAAGATAAGTATCATTGCGCATAGGTCATCAAATGGCCCATTTCACCAGCCTCGGACGATAAGAGACAAAAATGGAGCATTTGGTGGAATGATAATTGTAAGGGAAACCGAAATACTCGGAGAAAAATTGCCACCAATATCACTTTGTCGAATTCCAGGTGAACTTATCTGGGATCGGAGCCCAGACTATCGGGTGAGCATTCGGTGAAATTTAAAACATAAGGCCTCCGCTTGCTCACAGTACTACCACAATATCATAAGCTCCAGTACTTAGAAAATACATGTTTCTAAAGGTGGCACGCGGTGACGTAGTTGGTTGAGGCACTATGCTACAAGTCTGAAGGTCGCGGATTCGATTCTCGATGAGGTCATTAGATTTTTAACTGACCTAATCCTTCCAGTCGCACTATGGGACCTGAGGTCGACTCAGCCTCTAACAGAAACGAGTACCAAGAATCTTCCCGGGAGTAAAGGGCGACCGGGGCGTAAGGCTGACAACCTCACCGCCATCTGTGAAACGATTGCCTAAAAATGTGGTAGCCTCGACGTCTCACAGCCCTAAGGGCCTCCAAGGCCTGCTACAGGGATATTTTCACTTTATTTTTACATATTTCAAAAAGCTCTTCTAAATAATCTCTGTAGTAATGGACTACGGGATTGACGGCCAGGGTTCGTTTCCCGGCAGGGCAACAGATTTGTCTCTACCCCACAGTGTCCAGTCCGGCTCTGGGGCTCCACCCAACTTCCTATCCAATGAGCACCGGGGCCTTTTTTCTTGGAGTAGGGCAGGTCGGGCGTGAAGCTGAACACTCACTTCCATTTGGTAATGAGGTCGAGAATGGTGGAGCTATGTATCCACTCCACTAGACACCTTCATGACATGATGCTTCATTAATGAAGCGCAGGAATATCTTAAAATTATTATCTTTTATGCAACGAAGCTGTTGGCACGACGAGAGCCAGTCACTTGCAGACCTGAGTACAGTGACTGGTTCACCACACAATCGTGTTTTAATCGTTTATTTCCTTTATCAAACAAACAAACTCTGTCGCCTATAGTCCGCAAACGAACTATACCGTCCATGTGACCGCCGCTTGCCGGCAATATTAGTGCCTACTTTTGCGGATAGAGGGTGTCACGTGGTCAGCGCAACGGATTCCCACGGCCGTTAATTTCAGTGTTCTAGACCGGAGCCGCTACTTTTATATTCAATTATCATCAAGAGGCTGAATGGACCCCGTGTCAGACCGACTACTTCTCAGAAAATCTGGTAGCGCTGGGAAACGAACCCGGGACCCTTGGACCTATAGTCAGGAACTCTGACCACTAGACCACCGAGGTTGTCACTTCCTTTATCCAAACAAAAATTTATTTATTTATAGTCGTACTTCCTTGTTATTTATTTCTAAAGCTTATTTACTGCCATCCTTCTTGTTTCGTATTTCTCAAATAAAAATTCTCCCATTCCCTCTGCCGGTAAAAGATACCTCCATTTTTGTTTCTTACTTTCACTGAGGAGTCCAGCACTATCCTACTTTTTTTTCCTTGACACTACAGCCCCAGTGGGCCTAGGCCTACCTCCATGAACTTCTCCGTTCACTTCGGTTTTTCTAGATCTTACACATTCAATAGGACTCATTGGGAGGGTGATCAGCTCGTCGGAAGGCCTCTACCTGTACACAAACACAGAAAAACGCACACACACAAACTAAACATCCATGCCCTGAGTAGGACTCGAACCCACGATCCCGGTTTCCAAGCGAGCGAAGACAGTGCACGCCTTAGACCGCTCGGCTACCGTGACCGGCTCCATCCTACTTATACAGAAAGCAATTTGCGCTCTAAAAATGTACAGGCCGTTTATAAGCATTGTGTTTATATGTTTCCGTAATTCTATGTACTTGGTGTCTTGGTTTCATTGTTTGTTGCTTCTTAAATAGAATTTTTGTACGTACTCACAGCATCCAGTGCTGTAAACGCCATCTGTTAGATTTCTGCCGTTTAATTTACGATGCTGCAGTATCTCATATTACATTGCATTGAATTTTAGAATGAATGATGAATAATGGATCTCATTTTAGATATTGCGCCGAAATCTTTCTAGAAGGACTTATGTGAAATATAGCTGAGGTGTAACCGACATCCGAACCAAGAACTTTTCGAATAAAAGTCTCATATTTCATCGCTACGCCATCTTGTTGACTGACAGTCAGCCATTAGGTGTGTATCATGGTGACATCAAATGGTATGTGTTAAGCAGCAGGTACACAGTAAGCCAACCGCGTGTAGCACATGCAGAATGTGTCCTGTGTGAAGGGCATTATCAAGGCTGCCTGCATATCGTCGTGCCTATAATCTTGTAGAGGCGTGGTACTGGAAAATGAATTTGGACACAATCTTGATGAATGTAAATATAAATTAACTGCATCTTGTTCGTTATAACTCATAATTATTATTTTTATTGTTTGCATCCTGTTGCAACTAACGAAATATTAAGACCATTAAGACTAACTTCAGCCTCCAACGCAACGCATGTCTTTATTGATTGATTTAAAATCAACACTACATGTTTCGACACTTTTTTTTATTGCTAGTGGGGTGCGACTAACTCCCTTGTACTGCGGCCACTTCTGGCCTATTGTACCAGCCCCAGATGATAGGTGAGGGTAATTGTGGAGCAATTACTGGAATGAAGATTGACAGGGGAAACCGAAGTACTCGGAGAAAACCTGCCCCAGCGCTACTTTGTCCACCACAAATCCCACTTGACCAGACCCGGGATCGAACCCGGGCCGTCGCTTGAGCTATGGCGCGGCCTGCTGCGGGAGTAAGAACGCACTAACACAGCTTTGCTGCCCGCTTGTCACGAGACGAAGCGGTCCAATGCGTAATAAAATAGGGCACCCTACAATTTCTTGGTTGGAAACTCATCCTGACTTATTGTAGCTCTCCTTGGCTGTTGTAATGAAATGTTACGTATTGGCAGAACGCAGTCAACACACATTTCTCAATTCTTAACATATCTTATTTTATGTTGCATACGAGTAGTAAAGACATAAAAAATAAATTTCGTGGTCCTCATTCCAAAGGTACATATATGGTTTCAATTGTCATGAAACTACAAGAAATCCTCAGTTTCTCGTGCTTTTCCTCAGACACACCAGAATTGACCGGAAATAATCACGCGTGATACAGAACCGATTATATTATCGCAAAAATAAAAATGAAAATTTTATAATAACAACAAGGTCACATAAAAAAAGGCAAAGCTATCCCTGTAACAGGCCGTGAAGGTCCATAGGGCTGTGAGACTTCGAAGCTCCCACCTTTTCTAGGCAATCGGCTCGCTGATGGCGCTGATGTCAGCCTTACGCGCCGGCCGTTCTTTACCCCTCGTGAAGATTCCTGGTACTCACTTCTGTTAGTGGCTGAGTAGATCCCAGGGCCATAGCGCGGATGGAAGGATTAGGTAAATAGAAAAGAAATCCACCTCACCGAGAATCGAAACCGCTACTTTTCGGCTTGTAGCATAGTGCATCAACCAACTACGCTACCACGTGCCCCGTTATAGTAAAAATATCTAGTTCAAAGCCGCTAACACCCGAACCAACCACTGGACCCTATATTTTTAGTCAGTTTAGTCCAAACCTTATCATTGCAACGCATTTAAGACCTTTAAGACTGATGTATTCTGTGTGTATGTAATGACAGTTTCTCAGTTGCCTATGGCGTGATAGGATGGTATGGAATGGTGAATTAGAAAGGATTTCAAGGAAGCAACTGCGTTCTATTTTAATATGCTGCTTTATCATGAAATTTGCCTGGAGGGATTGGGGTGTGTAATGGCGCAAGAGTTATGTACAAGTAGATATTTTTTGGGGGGTAAATTTGGAATAATAGTATCTAGACTGTAAGATTAAGAGACAGAAATGATGAAACGTACCAGGAAGCTTGGGTTTGCAAAGAAGTGTAACAGGCTATCGCTTAGTAATCAGAATGCTAGCAGGACAGCGTAATAACGCTGACATTGAGGAAGAAGCTATATGAAGTAGGTCATAAACATTATGGCAGGAGGAAAACGCTGAGTCGGAGAAGGCGGTAGACCCGAAAGAGTCAATCCCTTCTCGACAGACAGCCAATGAGTGGGCCACACAGACCCAAAATCACGTCAGAATGGGCGGGCCAATATAACCCGGAACACAATGAATCAGCAAAAACAGGGTACATAAACCCTAGAGGAATCAATCAAAAAACATTTGACTTTTGACTTTTTAATATTATTAAGTGCCATAGAGTTCAGTCGGAGGCTATCGCCGAGAGAGCGATGGCAATGAGTGGGCGTTGGTTGGTGATGGCGAGCGTCTGTTTCCTTAGCTCAAGTAAGTGATCCAACTTCATATAGCCATGAACAATAAGTGTGATAATTGTAAAGTGTAAACCCCAGAGAAAGATAGTGCTAACTAGATGGACTAGGTTCATTCAGAAATACAGAGGCGTAGAATACCCGACAGTAGGGTGACAGGAGGTAGACTTAATGATGGCTGCAGGTTCATTATCCAGTGTAATACAACCGACGAACGTCGGTAAGTGTGTATAGTAGTAAGTATAGTAACAAAGGGCAATAGAATAGGATAGGCATGTGTGTGAGTTTACTTTAACCTAGCAATTCCTTAAGTGTTACCCTCTTCCCTGACGACTCCAGGACCTCCCAAAGCTTCGGCG